GATTTTCATACTGTTCAAACTAGAAATATGGAATGAGATTGTAGTGAGATTTTCTGATGCAGTGGAAAATGTTTTTGATATGGTAGAATAGGGTGGACATGCAAAATTAGTATTTTTAACGCTCAAATCAATGAAGTATTTGAGAAGCAATTTATAGAGTGAAAGTTAAAAGGTTACCAAAAATGTGTGTGTGTGGAGCTTATATATGGTAAATGGTAAACCATTCCCGTTAACACTCGGCGCGTTGTGCAAACTTTCGTTCGATTAGATCTAATGGTGGGAGATGGGTCAGAGGTCAGGACCGCAGGTTTTGTATTCACCTATTCTTACATGTTGCTTATGCCTTTCATATTGGGCCTTGTGATTGGACCTTTTTCCATGGGTGTTGTGAACGATCTGGGATAGTTTCCCACCAAGCCTTTGTTACCGTTTTTTAAAGCGATATTTGTATGGTTAGAGTTTTCCTTTACTATCTACTGGGTTTTCTAGTCGGTCTCCCGTTAAAGAGGGTGGAAAAGCTTTGAGGGGGGGAAGTCAGTTACATTAGGAACATGCGCATTGAATGCCCTTCTCATAACTATCATGCTTCGTGGAACAAACTTTACGCATGGTTCTAAGTCAAACAGTGATGATGGCCCTCTTTCCTAAGGTATTTGAGTGTTTGTGTAAATTGAGGAGAGATCATAACCATTTGGTGGCAAGGTTGTCATTTTTGGTGCTATCTAATCTTGATTCAGTTGTACCAAGGGATATACAAGGGGTTCAAGGGTAACTGATCTGGACTGGGCCAACGCTTTCCCCACCGTTGGGACAGCCCAATCCACACCTTTGCATAAGACCCAAAGGCAAGTAGCCCAAGTTGGGGACCATTGGGAAACTCTCCACATGTCCGTTGGGGAACATAGCCCACATGTCCATATCATCGTCATCATCCTGCCCTCCGAGAATAACGGGTCCAACTCCTGATTTTTCGGGGCAATTGACCAGGGGAGAGGCCACGTGCTAGACTCCATACACACGTAAGCCCTGGTAGTCTTTATTGTTGGGCCTCATCGTGGCCTAACATTGGAGACCTTGGCCCAACGTTGGAGGCTATAAATACCCTCTCACTTGAGAGGGTCAGGTATTAAATCATTCACACTCTCATACTCTCTTATTTGCATTAAGCTCTGAACTTCACTCTGGCATCAGAGTGTCTTGCAGGTACCTCCCTCCCCCACTTCACCTTCAACTGCTTCTCAACTCATAACTTATGGGCTTTGACAATCCATTCTGATCTGGTACGATCAGTAACATTTTTTGCCACTATAGAGGTATGAGATATCTTTCTTCACTTTCTGGGGCTACTTCTTATTTCTGTAAACACTTCCTAACAATCATTATTTTTGCGTCTTTACGGTGTATCTCTGGTGGCCTTACTCGTGTGGTTTACCAATATCACTTCTTTTGAGGCAACAACCAAAGTATCTTTCCCTTCTGTATTTACTTTCCATTTGATAGGGTTTCTTGAGAAGATGGTTATGAAATATTTGAAGGAAGGATTTACAACTGAAGATATGAGGATGGTTGGTAGCCTCGATCTCAAAGAGGTTACTAATAATTTTGCTTTTCTTGATTTACCTTTGATAAACCCAAATGTTATGGATGATTTCACAAAGGAACTCAAAGCCCATACTTACATCATAATTCATCATCGTGCTTTAAGTTATGCCCCACAGATAGTGAAGTAATATGGTGGATGAAATATCAATCTCGTGTTTATACTTACGATCATTTTTTTTTGTGTTATCATTAACCATATAATTGACTATCACACTCGTCAGGAAACCCATATTGCAAAGGAGTATAGTTAGGTTGTGTGGGTAGACTAGGAAATGTTGGACGTTGTGTTCATCTTTGTAGGTGACGGTGGTATAAATCATGCTTTCACTGAGGTGGATTCTCCCTCGGACTAGGGTGTGGTTCCTTTTGAAAGAGATAAGAGGGTATGCAGTAAGTTCACCGGGTGTATTATCCCTCTTCATGAATTCTTGTTTTCCTTGATAGGTCATTATCTTCCTTTCAATGACTTTAAGCTAGGCATTCTTAATCATTTGGGAGGTGCCCCCTCACAATTGCATTCGGGGAGTTAGGTCTACGTCAAATTCTTCAAGTAATGAAATGATTATAATAAAATCACACCGGCCTTAACCCTCCTTTTCCATGTCTTCAATGTCCAATGTTGGTCGTCCAACTCGTCTGAGGATCAAGGTATACTTTATCTCAGGGAAAGTCAGAAGATGTTCAAGGCCTATTATGATATTGTGAAAAAATTCAAAGATCAGTACTTCCTAGTTACTCCTCTCTCTGAGGTTTCTTATGTAAGTTTATGTGACATCCAATTTGATGCGCCCTCGAAATGTTCTAAGACACTTTTGAAATTAGGGTGTCAGAATCATTTCCAGGTCAGGGTTGATACTTAAGTCTATCTTCCTAACGATTTGTTCCAAAATGATACTTATTTGAATATGAGACTAATGACTTTCTGGGAAATCTTGGGTTTTGCTCACGGTGTCGCATCTTTCGGGGCAACGTCAAAAAATAGAAAAAGTGCTACCCATAGAGACGTGCTTGCTAGTGGAGGATGCTTCCAAAGAGGAGAGGTGTCATATTTCCAGTAAGTTGTGTAGTAGATTTATTCCTTTATGTTTTTTGTTTCAACGTGGATGTTTTCCTAATTTATTTGTTTTTTGTCTGCATATAAGATGAAATGCGACGAAATAATGTTTCAGATGAAAAAGACACATAGAGTTATACCTTTGCCTCTAGAGGTTGTTGCTTTGTCGATCCAGGGTGAAGTCCAAACTTTGGGTTGCCCTATTGAAGTAGTTGTTAGGAAGACTGGAAGATTAGGAGAACTTAGAAGGTACTCTTGTTGATCATTGAAGGAATTGGTTTCAAATGAATAGGAGCAAAAAGAGAAGTGACCAGGATCAGATCGTCTTCGACTATAAAAGGAATTGAACCTCAATCTTGGAATCAGAAGTATTGACTTTTGAGTTTGTGACGATGCGTTGGGTGGAAAATCGAGTAAATTTTGATGTTGTCATGGCTTTCACGGGGTCGATCGATTGTTTATACAGAAAAAAGATTGATTGTTACTAAATCGCAGTAAAAAAATAACAATTTCTTGCGCATATTCAAGGGAAATATATCAATTTCCACATACTGTGTCAATGTTCCATTATGGAACCATGAAAAAAGAACAAGGTCACAGCGAGATCCTTCAGTGCATTGGTGAATGTTTATGATACGGAAGAACAGTGTGGACTTATAAAATTAGCACTTCAATACTCAAATCAGTAAAATATTCAAAAAACAACTTAGAGGGAAAGTGAAAAAGATGCTTGAAATTGGTTTATATGGAACTTATATATAGTGAGTGATTAAACTACTCTCGTCCAATCTGACACATTAGACACATCATCGTTCAATTAAATTTGATGACACACAATATGAGTTCTTCCTTTTCAATTTACTTTTTTAAAATAAAAGAAATGCTTTACATAAAAATAAGAAATAACAATATACTCGAGCATTTAAATTTTTCAAGAAAAGTTAAAATATATTATTATATGACATATTTAAATTATTATTTGCAATTTTAATTATTTTTAAATATTTATGATTTCATATAAAATATTAAATTTTTTATATATTTTTCAAAAACTGACTTTAGATATACTACAATCACAATCATCAACAAATCACAATCATCAACACATTTGATTTTAGATATACATGTGATTTTAGAGATGACTAGATACAGTTCTTAACAATCTAACAATTATTATCCATTGGAGGTTGGTGTATATTAATCAAATTATTTATATTGATATAATTTATATTCATATATGTGACAAATGATTAATAGTAAAACTTATTTCTCAAAGTTTGATAAATAACAAAATGATGCTGGTGGCCATGGGGCATTCAAAGTTTCAAACACTATTTATCTTCTATGATTAAGCTTAAAAACCATTTTTAGCCATAAAAAACCATTTGTAATATAAACGCTTGTGAGTGTTTCTTAAAGTAATCGTAGCTGCAACTTTAAGCAACGAGTTCCTTAGCCATCTCTCCGATTTTATAATAGGCATAGTAAACAAAGAGACTGGAGAAGAACTTCAAATGGTGGCTCGTATTATTTTGTTGTTATACTTTACAGGTTGAATATTTTGAATAGGTCTCAACTCTCAAGTCTTGATTTGCATAAATAGTTGGTAGACAGGACATAGTATGTGAGTGTTGTAAACCCCGAAGTATGAGGCTATGGGATAGTAAACCAGAGTATACAACAGTAAATTATCAGCAAGGAGTTGTTATGAAAAAGTAACTTTTCATTAGGATTAATCTAATATATTATGCATTCACCAACAGAAGTAAACATTTGACATCTTTATCCCCTTTTATTTACCACTGTCATGTTTCAAATATTCTTGTTCATACATGACAACAGTACTCATAGAAAGAGTGTATAAATGAACAAAGGTAATGCTAGAAACTGCACACTAAAATGATTTTGCTACACTGGACATGTGATGAACTACAACAAGTGGGTCAATCATCACGAAACCCTATACTACAGAATTTCAAAATTGGATATTCATGATAAATACAACTAACTATACACAAGCTTATATGAACGGTATACATGGGGGTATTTGTTGATGGATTGATCTGGACTAGTACATCGCTTGCATGCTGAGACTTATCTGTCTCAAGTGAAGTGAATTCACCTCTGAAAACGGATCCGCATTGATGCTAATTTGCATGCTCGGATCAATTTTCATGCATAAATATGTGAACAGAATCAAGAGGGGAATATATTTGGAGTCATATAAGAACTAGAATGACTTCATGGCTATTTCCTATTCATTACATGGGCGAATAACTTTATAGACCTGGTTCAAAGACGGCAATAAAATATCCACCAGCTGAGAACACTTTCCAGAGTAAATTCAAGAATCGCTCCAACTATCATCATCATCATCTTCATCACTTCCAGCCAAAGCCTATTTCAACAATCAAGGTTAGTTGATCCTCAAGAAAAAGGATATGGCAATCTAGAGTAGTAATTAACAATGAAGTAGATAGAAAGGGGAAGAAACCTGGCGAATTGAATTAGCTTTCTCCAAGATGGCAGCAAGCTTCATATTTGTTTTTGGACCTTGAATGCTAGGTCGTTTAGCCACAGCAGGTTTCAAGTTGAAAGACTGAGAGCCAAAAAGTAATTTTAAATACAAGATTTCTTCGAAAATATAAAAGGGTAAAATCAGTATAAAGAAACAAGTTGCAAGTTCAAACCTTTGTTCTTATCTGTTCTAACCATGAATCTCTTTCATCTACCTTTGGTGCTATTTGAGGCATAACCCGTTCAGTAGCCCTCCTAAGCTGCAGTGGTTCAAAGGCAAAGTGTTATTCAAGAATTAAGACCTGAAAAAGTGATTTGAGTCAGAAAAGAAGTAGAAACTGACTCACCTTGCTTTTGTCATGAGCAGCAACAGCATCAATTAGAGGATTCCGAGGACGAGGAATCTTATGCTTGGGTTTTACATTTGTCCTTTCACTCTCAAAATCTGATGTTTGAGCAGATGGACCCAAGGACAACATTTCCCCCTCAAAGAGCCGGAAACTCTGATCTAGCTCTACACTTTCCATGTTTGGTGGCAACGTGAGTGAAATACCCAACCGTCCTTGTTCCCCTTCTACATTACTTACAGAATGATTAGGTGTTTTAACTTCCAAATTAGTCTCCTTCAGTAACTGACTTGGAGGTTCAGTTAGTTTTTCTTGCGGAGAGATGGAATCATGTTCAGAAACAGCAGATTCAGCTGATAGTATAGGAGGGCCTGGGTTAATATTTTGAACAATTTCTTCTTCAGAAATGACAATGTGACGGTCCATAGATATAACATTACTCATAGGATTCAGAAGTGTTGTATCATCTGAACTAGTCTCTGTCATTAATTGACTAGGAGATTCACTCATGTTTTCTATAGGAGAGATGGAATCATGTTCTGAGTTAGCACATTCGACAGGTGGTAGTGAAAGGAGTGGGTTTGAATTATGTACCATATCTCCATCTGAAGCAATAACATGACTGTTTGGAGGCCCATCACTACACACTACATTATGCATAGGCTGTTCAAGGGTTTTATCATCTGCACTGCTCTCTGTCATTACTTGAGTTGGACGCTGAAATGGTTCCATTTGTGGAGATGAGGAATCATGTCCAGATGCAGTATAAGCAGCAGGTAGTATTGGTGCGTAAGGATTTGAAGTATGTACCATTTCTCCATCAGAAGCAACAATGTAACCAAGTGGTGGATGCATGCTCGTAGGTACCACGGGCAGCGTTAATACAGGGTTCTGAATCTGGTTTATGTCCAGCACTAGGTAATTATACTGACCATACTGACCATTTGCTTCATTAACCACAATAGGAAACTGAATAGGTAAAGCAACTGGATGCCCTGAAACACTTACGGCAGAAGAATGTTGGAGCTTATCACTTTCCAAAGCCATGATTGGCAAAAATGGATTCTGATGAAATAGGGTATTTCCATCAGAAGCTGTAAAACCAAATTGAGACTTCGTATCGGGCATAACTGGCTGCATTCGTTGAACTGGAGACGGATCCACTTCTAACTCCTCTCTGTTTGAATCTAGGGAAGCATGTGGAACCTTGCTCATTCTCCATTGCATAGGAGGTAGAGGAGGCATAGGTGGCATCCCATCAAGTTTGTTTTCAGTTTCCTTAGGAAAGTGGTCAGGGAGAAGAGGCTTCAATGGATCTGTGACATATTGTGTAGGGTTAATTTCCAGGCCAGATGATTGTGGTGAAGAACAAAATGACGGTGATTCATCTGCAGGGGTTTCTGAGACAGATTCAGAAGTAGCATGAGTGCCTTCTTGCTTCATTTGATTTATATGCATCTGCTGAGATTGAGATTTCTCAGAGCCAAAGTTTTCCTCATAATTGAGTGGAAACTCTCCATCCTGTTCATCAAGTTGACATTGTAAGTGTGGCTCAAAATAAGTTTCAAACTCCAACTTGTTATCAGGTGTAGATGAAAAACTATTTGTGTCATTCTGTATAAGATCATTCTGGCCATAACTAGTAGATTCTGACTGCCGGGTGTCAAACCCAGAAAATCCAGGCACCACTTTCGCATCATCCTGGAAAACACTCTGTAGGATTTTCTTCCTAGGAGGAGATTTTTCAATATTATTTCCCAAATCTGGAAGATCATCACAAGGCACCAATTTGTTGAGGTTCATTTGTACATCTGAAGAAACAAGTTCTGGATGACCCGCTGCCTTCTGTCCCTCTAGTGCTGTCAAAGATTCTCTAGCAACTACCTCATGGTCTTCTGTCTCTTTCTCATTTAGATCTGCAAAAGCAGAAACAGATTCTTCTAATTTTGTGAGATTACTCATTGGAGAATATAAAATATTAGTTGTATCTGGCAATGGTGCCAATTGACTCTCGATCGTCTCTGTATTTGAGTCCGATGAAATTTGAGTCAATTCCACTTCATTGGATTCCATTGGATAAGAGTCTGAAGAAGCGTGGACTAGTTCTCGCGGATTTGAAAGGCTTCTTGAAGGAGAACTAATCATACTTGAAGCTGGACAAGTAATGATACCCGCATCATTTTCAGCACTATCAACAGAAGGAATGGGTTGATCTTTTGACTCAGTGATCGCACCATTTACCATCACATGATTATAAGAAGAAGGATTTTCAATATGACCATCACCTTCAACTGGATCAATACTGCTGCTGAATCCATTTATTTCATCACCTAAATTCAAGCCTAATTCTTTGATGGATGGACAAAGGGAACCTTCTTGTGAATCATTACAAAGGGAATCATCAACCAAGTTGTCCGATGAAATTTTGTCAGAAGAGTACACAGGGACCGTATCATCTTTTATAAGGGAGGGAGAAGAAGGTTTGGAAGCAACAGATTCAACAAGACCTGATCTGTCTGCACCATTTCCTAATCTATTAAGCTCAACATTGTCAGAAACACTTTCATCTGACTGAATCACTGCAGGTAGCGTCACTGGTTTGGTAGGTTCAAGATCAGAACACAACATCTTTCCTGAAGTCAACAGCTCAGAATTTGTTTGCCGAGAGTCAGAAACCCCTTCTTCGTGAACATGGGCATCATCACACATGACAAACTTTCTATTATCTGTATTTTGAAACTCAACAATTTCTGGAAGCTGGTTGGATGGCATGCTTTCATCTGACTGAATCACTGCAGGTAGCGTCACTGGTTTGGTAGGTTCAAGATCAGAACACAACATCTTTCCTGAAGTCAACAGCTTAGAATTTGTTTGCCGAGAGTCAGAAACCCCTTCTTCATGAACATTGGCATCATCACACATGACAAACTTTCTATTATCTGTATTTTGAAACTCAACAATTTCTGGAAGCTGGTTGGATGGCAAGCCTTCAATCTCTGCTTCATGATATTTAGTAGTTGAGAATAAAATAGGTTCTGATTGTACATTTTCAACCACAGTGCTCAATGAATCATAGTGAGGTAAATAAGATTTATCTTTCATGGAAGACCTATTTACATTTGACTTAGAGGATTTTCCAGTAGATTGAGAATCTGAAAAGTGAGCTTGCAGTTCCACATGCTCGTCTTCATCTCCTCTGAATGAGCTATTATTGTCTGATGTCGAGGAGGTTCCAGTTGAGTGAGAATTTGATAACCGAGCTCTCACTTCAATATCTTCCTCATTTGTCTCTTGTTTGAATGAGCTAATGTCATCAGATGTTGAAGAGCCTCCAAATGATTGAGAATCTGACACTCGAGCTTGTAGTTGATGTTCTTTATTATTGATATATGTTGCCTTTTTAATATTCAAGAAGCTTTTCTTAGGTTTATACTCATCGTCTGTTTCCAATTCTGACTCCATGGTAGTTAAAGCATCCATGTAGTTGTCAACCTCACTGGTCACATCATCAGAATTGTACCTTTCTAAGATGCCTTCTATTCTCTTTTGTTCATTGATTGCCAATTCTGCTTCATCAGACACCTTGACATCATTAAAAGACATTCCATCTCTTACACCCACTGCGATTTGTTCTTTCACCATCACAAGATCTCCATTTGCCTCACCAACCTCTTCTGGAAATTGGTTAAGTTGAAATTCCTGCTCATAAGGGGGTGAACAAGAGTTTTCATCTCCAAATGACTTTTTAATGCTACTGATTTCAAGAACTTTAATCCCTGTTTCGCTAGAATCATCCGATGCCGGTTTCACAGGCAGTGGAAAGATTGAAGTTTCATAAATCATTTTTGGATCAGGCGAGGGAGTTTCTAGAAATTTCTCCATGTAACTTTTCCCAGATTTTGCATCAACAGCAGGTCCATTCAATTGTCTTTTCTTCAACTTCACTAGGCGCGCTGGATTACTATAACCATTCTCAATACGTTCCTCAAGAAGCAGCTGATGTAATCTGCAAAAGATGGAAATAAATTTGAGACACCAGTCAATAATTTAAAGACCTACCAGTCGAATACCAATATACTACAACAAAATGATTGGAACTTACTTTGAATGTGTTGGTACAGCATTAGGAGCTTCACCGTCCCTTAGCCGTGCTCCTTTCTTCTGCTGGAAATGAAACATAATTATACAATCAAATTTGCAAAAGTATACAACTTTCCATCGCATAGAGTTCTTTACTGAAGAGATTACGGGGGTATTGCGACCCTATAATAATTAAGAAAAAACAGACCAAACATTTATCTGCTTATAGCACATATAGTCATATATGTATGTATCAAAGGCACCCCCATATATAAGGACCTCATAATTCACATCATTCGGTTTCAAATTTTCAATTATAATTTACAAATTTTCAGCAAGATCCCAGCCAATATCACACAACATAAAGCTCATTACGATCACACATTTACAACAGTTCTCCAGTGGGAGACTATTTCAATAAATAGTAGAATAAACAAATTTGTACCTTGACTTTACGAATTCTTCTTTCTCTTTGGACTTGTACAGTGGCTCTTACAGATGAAGCTGACTCCATTCTAAAGAATGACGGATCAGTATAACGCTTCAGACATGCCCCAGCCCCAGCCACATCAAACCTTTAAATAAGGCAACAGCCAAAAAGAAATTTTTTCAAACATCTATCATAGAATAATAATGTTTTTATTTATGTTGAAATCATATATATCTGAAAAATAAGACCACCATACTTATCCAGAAGGAACAGTCTTGGGGGACCGCGGCATTCTTCATAGGAATCCATTATCAATCGAGGTAGGTTTCCACCAGTAACAAGGTTTTGTTCAGACTGAAGATTGGAATGCCAATCAATCCCTTCATTGCAATAAGAAAGAATGTTTAAGTTAGAAAAGTCACCATTACAACTAAAGATTTAAAAAAAAAAAAAAATACCATCATTTTACAAGATAAACAATTTTAAAATCATGATGGCAAGCACCAAAAACATACAGTTTAACTAAGCATGAGTAATCTAACCTCCATTAGTAAAAAATGATGAATGGTGAGTTTGAGAGAAAAAGGCCTTTTCAAGTGAAGGAACTTCAGCCTCAAGTTGTTTAACACGAGCCGTAAGACTATGGCCTCTTGCAGCGGTAGCCATTACTTCTTCATGTAAATCATGGAAGATCTCAGCAGCAAACCTAACCAAAATGAGAAGATAAATGCGGGGAATTTGATAAATTCTCTAAAATAAAGAAAAGGTTAAGAGAAAGAAAAGTGGGATAGAAGAGAATCGGAGAAGAAACTGTTACTAATCTCCTCCAAGAGAGAAATCTCTTCTCCAAATGCAAAACAGTTATAACTATATCCAAAAAATGCCTTTTCCACCTATATGATCATATCTATATACTGGCCCTCTTATGTCGTAACTACTCTAACCATCCCCCTCACTTACCCAAATACTGAGTATCAGGTATTTACCACTCTATAGTGCATCCTAATTGGTCCCTACGTCTCCTAGAGTAAGCCTTAAAATACTGAATCTTCTTGGTACCTAACAGTACTTAACAGCACCTGATGACTGGTAAAAAATTCTATTTTAAAAAGACTAAACTCAATGCTGGGTTGAAATTGCCAGCGCTAAAAATGAAAGGAAACAACTTCAATGGAACTCTGACAATTAGAACTAACTTATTAATAACAAACTGTCACAACTCTGGCAAGATAAATACATCTTCCGCTCAGAATTACTTAAACTGAATTCACTAGATTAAGCCGCAAAAGGTTTTCTCAGGTGATTATTGAGGATGTTGTCCATAAAAGATTCTAAGATTAAGCCTTAATAGCCTCAAACACATCCCATTACAAAAACCACATTAACCAATGGGATGTAATTATCTAATATGATCCAATTATATAACGGTCCACTGAATTGCATTATCTCCGTATATGATTCCAAAAAACTCAAAAACAGAAAACACTTTTCCAACAGCCTACTTAGAGTCAAGTCACTGATCAGTCAACCACATCGAAACCAATCCAATCCAATCTACACACTACAACCACTCATTTTCTTCATCCAACTAGTTTTATCCCTTCAAAATTCACACATACAAAATTCAATACCTCAATAAAAAGAAGGAAAAAATTCAAAATCCAATCAAATCATACCAAAATTAACAATCATCCACCAAATTTATCATCTACATATTCCACTAATTCACAACTCAACCAAACAGTTACTAAATCCAGCAACTCTGATGTTTCAGGATTTAAAGTCAAGTCAATGATCAGTCAACCACATTCAAACCAATCCAATCTACACACTAAACCACTCATTTTCTTCATTTAACTAGTTTTATCCCTTCAAAATTCCACACATACAAAACTAACCTCAATAAAAAGAAGAAAAAATCAAAATTCATAATCAAATCATAACAAAATTAACAATCATCCACCAAATTCAGCATCTATACATTCCATTAATTCAAAATTCAACCAAACAGTTACTAAATCCAGCAACAGAATAAAATCAATTCCAACAATCACAAAATCTCACCTAATTAAAGTTAATAAAGTAAAAATCACTATTCCTTTCTAAATTCGGTACTAATTCAAAATCGATAAAATCAAAGAACAAACTAGAGAGACGAAACTAACTCAGCGAGGTCGCCGAGCTGGCGCAACAGTCCGACGAGCCCAGCCATGGCGACAGCTTCGAGAAGAGCTTCGGGATCATCTTTATCGGCGGCGCGGTACAGCTCGGGATCCGCCAAGCTGTACTCGTTCCGTATAAGGTACTTCGAGAGAGGCATTTTTCTTCTTCCGGAACGAATTCAGCTTTTCACAGTTGCTAGATTTTGTGATAGTTTTTGTAATTTTAGTTTCTGTTGTTCGATCTTCGATTCTCTTCCGGCGAGTTTGGGTCCTCGGTGTTCCACCATGGAAGACAGAGAAAGAAAATGTACAGAGAGAAAGTGTGAGAGAGAGTTATTATTATTTTATTTATTGTTATGAAAATAATTATTATTTTACTTTTGAGAAATGAAATGAATGAATATACGGTGGTCGGTGTGTGTGCGAGAGTCACATTCTGACAGACGTGAAGAGAGTGACGGATACGGGACACGGATTCGAGTAAGGGTAATATCGATATATTTTGTATTTTTGGAAGAAAAATATTTAAAAATTGAACATAAAAATTAAATATTTATTTTGGTGACCGAAATTATAGAATCGGGAAATTTCAAGGATTTCTTATTCTATTTTTTTTATTTTTTATGTATTATGCAAAAAAATTTAAATGTTTTTCAAAATCGGAACAATATCTTTGATGTGCACCAAAATTTGATAAGCTATACATTGGAATCATAATTTAATTTTTGGTTTTGATCCAATGATGTATTTCCGGTTTTATTCTACACAGAAACCAGAAAAACATCATTGAATAACACCAATATCACAAACTCAAAATACAATTCATAGCATAAACATAGAAAATATATTGAGGATTTTAACATTAATCAAACAATACAAATCAACATCCTCGTAGACGTTGTAACATCATGATAATATCATAGATCGATCTTGAAATGGTCGCATCTAGTTCGATCAGAACTTTCTCCTCAAAATTGGTAAAAATATTCCACATAGCCTGTAGATCATCGTCGTTCTTCAGCTCACGATTGATGAACATAAGATTTCTGTTGTACCCCAAAATTTGCCCTCTCGTGTTTTCCAAGATATTCCCTTGCATGGGTGGTTACAAATACTTGCTTAAAGAAAATAAATTTTTTTGAAGATGGTCAAGTGTCTTTCGATTAGCACCTTAACAAGCTACTTTGATTGGGGTATCTAAAATCCTTCTATGCAAGCTTGGCTCACCAGTCTTCGATTGGGCATTTGGCCTCCTTCGATGCAGGCCTGATTCACAAGCTTCGATTGGGCGATGGGCCCCCTTCGATCAAGTTCAATTCACAAAGCTTCCTCATGCTTGCCTTGGATTCACAAGGCAAAGGCTTCCTCAGACTTGCCTTCGATCCACTAGGCAAAAAGCTTCTTTCATTTGTGCTTCGACCCACAAGGAAATGACTTCCTCTGTGCGTGCCTTCAGCGCACAAGGCAGAGGCCCCTCAACTTGCCTTCGATCCACAAGGAAAAGGTCTCTTTCAACTGACATTCGATTCACAGAGCAATGGCTATCTACATGCAAGATTCGACAAGACAGTGTCTATCTTCAGGCCTACTCTGACCCCGCCTCTAAAAACCTTCAACATACAATTTTCCATACTTCGACACACAAGATGGTCCCTTCCAAAGAAGCATTCCAAGACTCATTCGAAGGACATATAAATGGTGCCTTCGAAGGACATACATTTGGTCCATTCGAAGGACATATAAATGGTGCCTTCGAAGGACATACATTTGGTCCATTCGAAGGATACATAAATGGTGCCTTCGAAGGGCATATATTTGGCCCATTCGAAGGACACACAAATGGTTCCTTCAAAGGACATACATGTGGGGAATTCGAAAGAGTCAGGGAGCAAAACATATCCAGGTTCACTCAAGAGTTCAAAATGGCAAGAATCATCCAAATATGGCCAACTTTCAATATGTTGGATTTTTGTCTCATGACCTTGAAAGCTTTTGTCTCTTGCCATACTTGCTATCCCCGCACTCCTATAAATACAAGGCTAACACCACATTGCCAAGGGGACGAAAAATAAAAAGAAGGACAAAAGAAAGGAAAAAAAAGGGAAACGAAACACTTGCCACGAAAATATTCTTGCAGAGACACTGCCAGCATAGAGGAGACAGACTGCATCACATAGAGCATCAATCAAAACTGCAGACGCATTGCTAAACAAAAGCCTTTTTGCCATACACGCACATTGCCCCACAAGAACTCCACAAAACTTCCAAAGTTCCAACAAGGTTGTCAGAATCGAAGCACCCCACTGGTAACAAACCTTCGATCTTCATTTCATTTCACATGTAATTTAATTTTCATTGTATATTCATGCCACATAATATTTATGAGGGTTAGCGTGTTGCATGTGAAGTCTAAAATGACAGGATAACTTTACTAAGGCATGTGAAATGGATTCCTTCGAATCTTAAATCTAGCTCAGATGGTGAAGAAATATGTGTGCAGTCGAAAGGACCTGGGTTCGATACCCAGGCCTTGAAATGTTATTCTTTTTTCTACAGATTCAACGCTACGCATGCTCACCATACACCATCAAGTCCAGGCCATCAGATGCACATCTGATTCGGATCTAACGCCCTGAGCGCACAGCCTCACCATAAGCCCTCCTGAGGATCTCAACACCATATCCAATGTCATCCTGGGCCATCTCCTTATTTGGGCCTAGTAAAACCCAATTCACACCCCTTTTTTTTGCATTCATTGCCTGACCGATTTGCACTTTTATTTTGTTTTTTTATTTATTTCTTTTAATTGCTTTATTTTTTAAAATTCTATTTAATTGACATTAAATCAAAAAACATCACAAAAAATCAGGTTAGTATTTTTCTTAATTAAATTAATTTTGAAAATTAATTAATTAATTATTTTAACCATTTCTTTAAATTAAAACCAAATAGATTTAAGTTTTCTATTGTTTAATTCTCTTCATATAATAAAAACAAAACAAAACAAACAAAATGATTTTATTCTTAGGATTTTAGACGTCTTTTCAAATTCGCGCGTTATTATTCTTTCGCACTTCTTTTTATTACTGTAACTGTATATTGGGATGTAATAGATGATTAGTAGGACCTTTACTGCTTTCTTTATTTTTTTCCCAAGTTTTTGGACATGTAAATATCCCCTCCCCGAAGCTTTGTAATAGCGTAGGATTTACAGTTCCCGCACTTTAAACTCATGTACATATTAACTATTAGATGTGTGGTAATAGGATTGTATGGCAAGAAATTAAAAGCAACGTTAGCAAACCTAATATCAAAGACAAAAATAACTGAAAACAAACACACGCGCACACGCGCACCTCTAGGGTACTCCCACTTTGGTTGCCTTTGGAAAATAAAACAATCATGTCCCTCGAAAGTGGGGACGCTTTAGCAAAGACCCTCGAATCAAAAGATCATAGTCCCTCGATGATCCTTCGATGTTTCCTTTCGATAAAGGATCTAGTCCCTTAAACAAAATTGCTAAAGCGCTCCTATGTGTTGCCTTTATGACTGTGCGATGACCCACGAATATCCCTCAAACATCCAACAATAAGGCTACCTACGATAGCACTGTCTAAAGGAGGAAAAGAATGAACCTTTTGAGTAAAATTAGATAGTTCCTAGATGCTATGCTCAAACAATTTTTACACTTACACGAAACTTCTTTCAAAAACATTTTCAAACACTTTGTATATGTTCTCTATCATTCCGAGAAACATTACAAAGTTTTCCGTACTAAGGCACTTTCAAAAAATACTTTTAAAAACACACAAAGCACAAGGTATTTTTTCAAATGAGCTAAGCATCTAAGAGCCCGTAGAAAACTACTGATGGAAAGGGTGCTAACACCTTCCCTTTCCATAATCTACCCCCTTACTCAGAAATAATTTCGAAAGGTCTTTTTATGTTCTTTTTACCCTTTCCTTTGTTAGATAAAAGAAAAGTCGGTGGCGACTCTTGCTTACGACAACATTTGCAAATACAAATGCAAAACCAGTATAATAGTCGGTTATGCCACCGTATCACAGAACTGGCGACTCTGCTGGGGAAAATAAAAGTGGGGTTACCTTAGAGCTTAGGTCATATTTAATTTGCTTTCCTTGTACGCTTTGATTGCTTTATCTTTAAGGGTTTTGCTTGGATTTACTTGTAAAGATCCTACACTCGGATATGGGGCACCTTTTAGATAAGTAGCAATAGATCGTGGGGACTGTGCGGGGTATACTAACACGGTTGAAACGGTAGCTACGTTGGTGTGACACATTTGTTGCTACCAGTAGCCCTTGAGTAGTCAAGGAGAATACGGGTCCGCTGTGTGGTGTCATGAAGCACCAACTAACATTAGAACCTTTAATTGAACAACTTGGCCATTAGGAAGTAGTGAGATAGTCGGATTTGGTGCAGTCTAAAGTTGGTTGATACTCGATACTATACTCATTGAGATCTGACTTCTGGGATATTTCAGTCGCCAATAAAGAGGCTTGCGTTGAAACAATGCCCGGTGAAGAAAGATCAGTGATATTGAGATCCCTTAGAACCCGAATACTATTAATAGGACAAGTTCAACCAGCTAAACTTCAAGATGGTACTTACCTATAAAATCCATGCAAGCCTAAACCTAAGGATTTGTTTGTGTGATTGTATATATCTATTTATACATAACATCAGAATATCAAAACATTGACATATCACACTAACCATTTCAAGGACTTTTAGGACTTATCATTGTGTCTGTTTTGTAGGACATGGCTCCCATTCGCAGAAATACCATCCAAGTCAACCTCGTAAGGGTACCAATCCATACCACATCCAGAAAACACTTTTCCAACAGCCTACTTAGAGTTAGTCAAGTCACTGACCAGTCAACCACATCCAGACCGATCCAATTCGTGCACTACAACCACTCATTTTCAAACCCATCCAGTGTTGTCCTTGGTGGTCCATGGTAAAGAGCCAAAATCCCGCCATACTAGCCTCAAAGCATTTCCTTTATAGCGGGTATTATGGCGGAAAATCTGCAATATCAGGCGATATTTACCATTGCAGCTTGCGGCGAGCCCAAAAAAACGCCAAATTTTCCACCATAGCGGTCATTACGCCACTATTTGATAACAACAGA